AAGAAACCTGAAACACTAATTCAAAAGAATATATGCACCCCTATGTTCTTTGCAGTTTAGTCAAGATTTAGAAGCAGCCCAAGTGCCCATCAGTAGATAAATGGATAAAAAAGCTGTGGTACATATACACAATGAAATACTACTTAGCCATTAAAAGAAGGAAATCTTACTTTGGCAACAGGATGGATGAATGTGGAGAGTATTATACTAAGCAAAGTAAGTCAGAGAAAGACAAGTATGATGTGATTGTACTTATATGTGGAATCTTATAAAAAATAAACTAACAAAATAGAAATAGACTCATAGATACAGAGAACAGACTGACAGTTGTTGTGGGGAGAGGGGTTTGGGGGCTGATGGAAAAGATGAAGTGATTAAGCAAAGAAAAAAACCTCACAGATATAGACAACAGTATGATGATTACCAGAGAGGAAGGGCATTGAAGGAGTAGTAGTAGTAAATTAGGATAAATGGTGATGGCAGGAGACCTTACCTCCCATTTACAATTGCCTCAAAAATATTTAATAATAAATTTAATCAAGGAAGTAAAAGATCTGTACTCAGAAAATTAAAAGAAACTGGAGAAAGAAATTGAGGAAGATACAAATAAATGAAATCATATACTGTCCTCATGAATGGGAAGAATTAACATTATTAAAATGTCCATACTACCCAAAGCAACCTAAGATTCAATGCAATTCTGAGCCAAATACCAGTGGCATATTTCACAGAACTAGAAAAAATATTCCAAAAATTTATATGGGACTACAAAAGATCCCAAATGACCACAGCAGTCTTGAGAAAGAAGAACAAATTTAGAGGTATCGTGCTGCCTGATATCAAATTGTACTACAGGCTTTACTAGCCAAAACAGTGTGGTACTGGCATAAAAACAGTCATATAGATCAATGGAACATAATACAGAGCCCAGAAATAAACCCACACTTATATAGGCAATTAATATTTGACAAAGGAGAGAACACACAACAGGGTAAAGACAGTCTATTCAATAAACGGTGTTGGGAAAATTGGACACATTCATGCAAAATAAAAATGAAAATAGACCACCTCTTACACCATATGCAACAATAAACTCTAAATTGATTGACAATTTAAGTGCAAGACTAAAACCATAAAAATCCTAAAAGAAAAGGTAGTAAAGCCTCTGAAATTTCTCTCAGCAATATTTTTCTGACATAGCTACTTGGGCAAGGGAAACAAAAGAAAAAAATAACAAGTGGGACTACATCAAACTGAAGTTTGCATAGGAAAGGAGATCGTTGACAAAATGGAGGGTCCTCAAAATTTTTAAATGGTACTGCCTTATATCCAGCAATTCCACTTCTGGGTATATATATTCAAAGAAACACAAAACACTAATTCTAAAGGACACACACACTCCCTATGTTCATTGCATTACTTGTACTACTTGTATTACTTACAAGCCAAATATGGAAGTAACCTAAGGGCCCATAAATAGATGAGTGGATAAAAAAGTGGTGGTACATATATATAATGGAATATTACTCAACCACAAAAAAAGAATTAAATCTTAGCCTTTGCAGCAGCATAGATGGACCTATAAGCCAGTCAGAAGAAGACAAATACCACATGATTTCACTTAGAAGTGAAATCTAAAGAACAAAATAAATGAACAAACAAAATTGAAACAGACTCAGAGATATAAAGAACAGATGGACTACTGCCAGAGGGCAGGTAGTTGAAAGACAAACCAAAAAAAGTGAGCAGAGTAAGAAGTTCAAATTGTTAATTACAGAATAGTCATGAGAATATAAAGTACAGCATAGGGAATATAATCAATAATATTGCTATAACTATGTATGGTGCCAGATGGGTATTGGAAACATCCAGTGTGTGTGGGGGGAGCAGTTTGTAAAATACAGGATTATCTCACCACCATACTGTACACATGAAACTAATATAAAATAATATTGAATGTAAATTGTAATTGAAAAATAAAATTTTAAATGCAAAACTTTAATATCTTAAACCAATGAATGAAGATTTATTTCTTGTGCACACCATCTTTAAATCTTGAATAGAAATTGCCCGTTTTTGCCATAAGTTTTTTATATGTATCATAATTCAGGTAGGTAGCACAAAAAGAGAACTTAATTGATGTTCAACGATAATAAAATTGCCCATCTTAGTAATAAATATTTTTCACAAAATAAACATCTATGGAAAACTGGGGTTAAAATTCTTAATGGGAAATATAAAGCAAGTATTAATGGTGATCCAGTTTTGAAAGAAAGGCCTAATAAAATCCAACTTTCTTCATTAAAATTCTTAGAGATCACTCTTTTATTGTGAGGTCTTCATTGAATGGCAGACCTTGGAAGGCATTTTTAGGTTATTGGAGCTGTGGTAATCCCAAAGCAGACAAGTGAAAACAACTTTACCAATTTGTATATAGTAACAGTAGTTACTATATACAACAAACTGGTGGAGTACTCTGTAAGGACATCTTTTGGGCTGATAGGATTACTTAGCATCGTAAAGTAATACATTTTGTACTGATGTTTCCCAAATCTGAAGACTATTTTTTGGTGGCTTAAGATGATTTCCCATCTAGTTTCTTACAAAGCTCCCCAGAAGATGTTGCTACATAGTCTGAATATGGACACTTAAAGAAAAAAGAAACCTGTATTTTCAGTCTGGTGGATGGAAACATAAAGGCATAGAACGTTAATATAAGGTTATTGGGGCTACTGAAACATTAGTTCAATGTAAATGGCAGATTATTTTAAACCATAAGGTTATGGGATTATTTTATTACTACTGGTTTGATATTCTAATTTTTACCCATAGCTCTGCCACTAATTTCCTATGTGATTTCAGGTAAATAATTTTAACTTCAGCTTCTTTTGAGAAATAAAATCAGGTATATTATTAATAAAGGTGTTTCACAATCCTAAAACTTCATATTTCCTTGAAACTTTCTAATGACCTTATTTGGGTTAAACTATTGGTGGCAATTATTATGGGCAGATTGTGTAGCAGAAATGTTTGTCCTCATTCTACTACCTTCAAAAAATGCCCTGTATTTCCAGGGAAGGTCAGTAAGCTGCAGGGTATTGATGGGGTGGGGGTTGAGGGCAATATTGATTCAGGACGTGCTAGCCCAAAATATCGCACCTTGGCATATTAAATATTTCAAAACTAAAGAACTTTGAAAACTAGGATGTGCAGGAAGGTTTTTCTGGTCTTTCCCTGAAGACGGTCATACAAATCTTCATTTGGGAGGTGCCCTTCCTACATCCAGGGGAAAGAAGCATCCTTATTTCCGAAGTCAATGGGATAAGGAGGAATATGAATAAACAGGTCTTGCTAAGTTTCCTTCAGTTTACAACACTAGCATATCCTTCCACAACTTTCCCATCTTCATCAAACACAGCACAAAAACACTTAGGTTTAACTATTTCTTTGGTTCTTTACTTTTTTATGAAGGCTTCAGTGTCACATAAAATAATGTTTTGTAAATTTGTATGTCTTTCATTTGCTGGTTTTTTTGTTACAGAGGTCCCAGTTGAAATTTTAGAAAAGTAAAGGGAAAAGATATCCCCCGTCCCCCAACAAGTATATCACAATTGAGCAAGTCATGGGATCTGGGGCCAATTACTGATAGATCCCGTCAACCTCTTGAAGATTGGATCATGGGGGCATAATCTCAAACAGATCAGTAGAACACATACTCAATGAAATAGGAGCTACTAAAGAAAACAAAGCTAAGAATCACATCGAGGTAGGATCCTGACATGATTTTATTCCAATGGTTTAAATAAATTCCTGTCCCACCCCTAATTCACTTCTTACTTCTCTTGCTAATGAGGAAGCAGCAGAGACTCAATAGAGAGGCAGTCAATTTAATTTGACAAACTTGCCTAAATTAGGAGAGTCTGAATTAGCTTTGACCCAGGGAAAGAGCTGAGCTTTGCAACTCTAAACAAAGCCTGACTCCTTTTAGGGTGTATTCTCCACAAACACAACCCGAGGTTACACAAGAGATCATTTTTCTACAAGACATCGCCAACAATGCCCAAGGCAAAATTCCAAGACATAATTTATCTTCACCATTCTTCAAACATTTTCACCTTCTGCTCCCAAGCCCCAGTACAAGAAATGTGTGAAGTCTAGCTGTAAAAGCCTACGGATTTAACTGCATAAAATGTGAAAGGCATTTTGGGGGCTACAAATACAAGTCATACATAATGCCACCCATTAGGTTGCTTCCACTTATTACTTAATAGGAAAAATGGAATGCTTTAATAAATTAACGAGAACAATCACAGGCACAAAAAAGCCTTCTGTATGGAAAACACCCCAAATTCAAAAAGAATTAGTTTTCCCAACTCCCATAGAGTACTGTGATCTGGTTTCAGGGTGTACTATGAAAGGCGATTTAACTAATCCCCTTTGAGAGTTTCGACAGTTTGAAACGCTTTTCTTTTAACCTAAACAATCCTCTAATCAGTTAAATTCATTAGCAGTGAATAGTCTCTTAGGGCCTTCAGATTAACTTCCATAGCCCACGCTCCCCTCCCACCCTCCAGAGTTGATGAAATCAAATGCCTTGGAGTTGCAAGTTTTGGTAATTCACATCATTTAACAGAACATAGAAATAACTGGAGCGGGGGTGAAAGGGTATGTGCAAATTTTCATAGCTTAGGGACTGCAAAAGTGAGAAAATGACGCCACCTCCTGGTTAAGCGATGGGAACAAGCAGGAAAAAAAGCTGACCAACTTGCAGGATAAGCAGCTTCTTGCTTTTCCAATCAGGAAGCTGCCTTTCTCCTCGATTGCAAGCTCTTCTGAGACCCGCCCTCCTGGAGGTTCTGACCACTCAGTGAGCCCCAATTAACTTGATTGACAAGGCAACTGCCCGGTCCGTTACCTAAATTCGTCACTCCGGAAACAGCGAACCGATGTTTCCGGAAACTCAGCGTCCGCTCTCTCCCAGAGTCCTTTGCCTTCCGGCTATGTTTAGTCGCTCCGGCCAGTCCCGCCTTGCGCGCCCATTTCGAGACCAAGTTTAAATTTCAGCTTTCCAGGCTCGAGATTCTGGCACAGATTTCCTGGGACTGGGTTCTTGGGCAGTGGCTATGGGGGCAGGAATGGCGCAGCTGGAGGGTTACTACTTCTCGGCTGCCCTGAGCTGTACCTTTTTAGTGTCCTGCCTCCTCTTCTCCGCCTTCAGCCGGGCACTCCGAGAGCCCTACATGGACGAGATCTTCCACCTGCCGCAGGCGCAGCGCTACTGTGAGGGCCACTTCTCCCTCTCGCAGGTGGGGTCCCCATCCTCCCCCACCCCGCGACAAGCCAAGGAGAACAGCCCCAGAGCTAGTTCTCCCATCCTTATACTTAGATCCCTTTGCCCCACCCTCTCAGCCTTAACGCGTGAAAAGAACTGGGTAATCTTTTATTCCTGTCTCTGAGGTCTGTGAAATGTTTGTTGAATGAATAAACAGCAGAGCTGCCATCTAGGAAGTCATGTTATGACATTAGGGAGTTGAGTTACTGCCCCTTTTCATGGCAACTGGTGATGGTTATCTCAGGTTTTCCTCCTCTATCCGTGTATGAGGCCGTGGGCAGCTCCTAGGAAATAGCAGAAAACTTCACTTGAGCTCATCTGTCAGGCATCTCACTGTTTTTGGGGGATAGGATAGGGTGAGGAGGGGGTATCTTCAGCCACCAAGAAGTAACGAGTTATCATAATTTCATCCTTAGTATTTTGGGGACCCTTTTGTTAACTGGATAAAGTGTCAACTAGTGAAGTGGCATCATGTTTAACAATGTAAATATAGAGGTAGAAATTTAAAAAAATTATAGCAGGCTCTGGAATAACTTCCTTTGTTCAAGTACATTCTTTATAACCTTGATGAGATGTGGTAGGAACTTAACTCTTGTGTAAAATTCGTTTCGTTATATGTTTCATTTAAATCTTAGAACCTATCGCAGATGTTAAGAGAGGACTTACTGCAGGCATATAATTTTTCCTCCTCTGGTGAGGCAGTGTCGAGTGGCTAGAAATACAAAGTCCAGTTAGAGAAAGACCTGAATTCAAATCTCAGAGTTTATTGACTAGTTGTGTGACTTTGTAGATTTCTGAGTTTCAGGTTACTCATCTGAAAATGACAAAAATAGTGTCTACTCTAGGGTATGTGGCAGGATTAAATGCAGAGGGTTTAGCACACTTTTTGGCTCAGTACATGTTACCTTTCATTATGGAGCCTCTGGTTTCATCTCTTTAAACACTTCTTTCTCTCCAAACACATCAGAGTTCCAGCTGATATTTCCACGCTTTTAAAACCTGGAACATTTGTGACTTAATTGCCAAAATACAAGATTTCAGAAGAGTAGGTCCTCTGAAGAATAGAAACTGATTTTAAGTTGTTGTGTACTGATTGGTGATACCTTAGTCACCAAGCAAAATAAAAGCAAAACTTTTCTTCAGAGGTGACATCTGATCAGCCAAGGACTTATTTGTGTCACAGAAATAACTTTTAAAAATGCCCAGTTCTTGGTCAAGATGTTTTTGACCTTCACATCTTTGTGTCAGTCCCTTTGCTGTTGCTTCATTGTCAGCCTTTCATTTTTAAGTGGGACCCCATGATTACTACATTGCCTGGCTTGTACCTGCTCTCAGTGGGAGTGGTCAAACCTGCCACTTGGATCTTTGGATGGTCTGAACATGTTGTCTGCTCCATCGGAATGCTCAGATTTGTGAATCTTCTCTTCAGTGTTGGCAACTTCTATTTACTGTATTTGCTTTTTCGCAAGGTACAACCCAGACACAAGGTATGTTTTCAAAGTAATTTAGTATAAGTTTATATGCAGTTAAATTCACGATTATGATAAACTGATTTTATGACATTTGGTGGGAAACGTCTTAAATACTTAGTATTCGTGTATATTTTGTAAGGCTAAAGCAAGACCCCCCAACTCCATTTTAGAAGAAATGTACATTTAAATACTTCAGTAACATATTTATAAAATCTAAAGTAAATGGTTGTTCATGAATCAAATCCAGAGTTAATATTTACTGAGCTTACTCCATATGTAAGCACTGAAACTAGAGGAAAATGAGGCTTTTTTTTTTAAAAGAAAGTTACATTTTCATTAGGGGAAACAGACTTTAACTGAGAGATTTTTGTGTGACTTAATGGGGGGCCCTGGAGGTGAATTGCCTTGATTTGAATTCTATCCATTTACTAATTACCTTACTTTAGGTAGGTTACCCCAAGTGACTCCCAGTCTTCATCTGTGAAATGGGAATAATATAGAATCTACCTCATAGGACTGTTATGAACAGTAAAAGAGATTAATGATGGGAGGTGCTTAGAATAGGGCCTGATGTAATATTGTAGTAAGGGCTCCTAAGTATTCATTATAATACTGTAATTAATGTTTAACTTAAAGAGATTATTTCAGTAGTGTAAATAATGAGAGGGAGATAGGAAACAGACACTGTAGATACAGAGGAGGAGCACAGCACTCGCCACAGGCAGGCTCTCTGGAAGGGAGAGGTGGGTGACCATGGGTGAGGCTTCACAGGGAAGATGGTACCTGATCTGATTCTTGATGAACAGATGGGGCTTTAGGGTGGGAATGAATCCTGGCAGGAGAAACATAAGTGCAAGTAGAAAACATGAGCAGCAGATGCAGGGAATTGGTGTTTGGACTTTGAGGATTTAATAGTATAGAGATGTGAGGCTGGAGAAGTAGGTAGGAGTAAAGTCATGAACATCTTTAAATGTTTTGACCTCGAAAGGTAATGGACAGCCCTTAATTTCAATCAAGGCTGGCTTTGATTTGGTGACTTAGATTAAATGAAAGCTACAATCCAAGGAAAAGAGAACACTGCCAAATTCCAAAATAGCATGTCAGAGTCTAAGAAAAGATATTTAACTGTAGATTGAGCCCAATGTTTTCAAGAAAATACCTGTAATTTCAACATGAAATATGAAGATCATTGGGTATGGTGGTGTATGTATGCTATACACATATTTACATAAAACTCTAGTGCAGAGTTTTAAAGGGATATCCTTGAAAGAAATTGGTGATGCTGGCTAAATGTATGCTTATTGAAGGTGCTGAGACTTAACCCCAGGGGAGCAGAACCACCTGCACTAGTATTTCCCATTCGTCTCTTCATGTTCCACATAGAATTTAGTTCAGTGTCTTGTACATAATAACTCCTTAAGTGTTATGGAGTGATTCAAAGTATTTTAGGCCATAGAAGTTTTGGCACCAACATTTATTGTTTTATCAGCTTTCCAACTGATAGGTGTAACTAGAAAGTGCCAGAGTATTCTTATAAATATGTATTGTGTTTTTGCAAAGCCAAAAGTAAAATTAATATTAAATAATTTTATCTAAATAAGATTCATGTAGTTTTTTTTTAAGTAGTCCATTAGCTGAACAGAAAAAGCATATTTGTTTTATCATGAAAATAATGTTAACTGTGATTTCTCTTTCTCCTAGGCCGGCTCAAGTATCCAGAGAATCTTGTCAACATTAACCCTAGCAGTATTTCCTACACTCTATTTTTTTAACTTCCTGTATTATACAGAAGCAGGATCCATGTTTTTTACTCTTTTTGCCTATGTGATGTGTCTTTATGGAAATCATAAAACATCAGCCCTGCTTGGATTTTGTGGTTTCATGTTTCGCCAAACAAATATTGTCTGGACTGCATTCTGCGCAGGAAACATCATCGCACAAAAGCTAACCGAAGCTTGGAAAACTGAGCTACAGAAGAAGAAGGAAGAGAGGCTTCCCCTTATTAAAGGACCATTTTCAGAGTTCAGGAGAATTCTCCAATTTCTTTTAGTTTATTCCATGTCCTTTAAGAACTTGAGTATGCTTTTCCTTCTGACTTGGCCGTACATCCTTCTAATGTTCCTGTTCTGTGTTTTTGTTGTGGTTAATGGTGGCATTGTGGTTGGCGACCGGAGCAGTCACGAAGTCTGTCTCCATTTTCCCCAGCTATTCTACTTTTTCTCTTTCACCCTGTTTTTTTCCTTTCCTCACCTGCTGTCTCCTAGCAAAATGAAAGCTTTCCTTTACTTAGTTTGGAAACGTAGAATTCAGTTTTTTGTGCTTGCTTTATTCTCTGTATTTTTAGTTTGGAAATTCACTTATGTTCATAAATACTTGTTAGCAGATAATAGGCATTATACATTCTATGTGTGGAAAAGAGTTTTTCAAAGATACGAAATCATGAAATATTTGTTAGTTCCTGTCTATATATTTGCTGGTTGGAGTATTGTTGACTCATTGAAATCAAAGTCAGTTTTCTGGAACTTAATGTTTTTCATATGCTTATGTACTGTTGTAGTACCTCAGAAACTGCTAGAATTTCGTTACTTTATTTTACCTTATGTTATTTATAGGCTCAACATACCTCTGCCGCCCATATCTAGACTTGTTTGTGAGCTGGGTTGCTATGCAGTTGTTAATTTCCTAACTTTTTATATCTTTCTGAACAAGACTTTTCAGTGGCCAAACAGTCAGGATACTCAGAGGTTTATGTGGTAATATCACAGATATCGTGAACTCTCAAAATAGATTTAGTGTTTGGCATTCCCATAGGAGCAAGTGAGCAGGTAAAAATTACGGACTTTTTTTTAGACACAGTGGTGATCCTCAGATCAATCAGATTTTATTTTTAAGCATTGGATATATATGTTTTAGACATACATAACAAATCCAAGGGAGTGAAGTGGTTAAGAACCTAGAAAAGTTTAAGGCTTGTTCCATAAACCTGAGTAATAATGGAAAATCCAATTGTTTACAGTTGTCTCATGATACCTCCGGGACTGCTGGCCACTTAGCAGCTTGGAAACATTTTACAGATACAAGTTTAAGAAAACTGGGCATGTATCATACCCGTATTTTGCCATGTATAATGCGCACTTTTTTGCCCAATTTTTTTAGGTAAAAATAAGGGCGCACATTATACATGGGTATAATGATTACATACCATGGGTATAATAATGGGTATAATAACCCCGTATATAATGCACACAAAAAACATGGGTACGCATTACATGCGGCAAAATACAGTAATACTGGAACTTATGTATTCTCTTCAGAAAGCAATAGACAAAATATTTGAAAAATATTTACAAGTGATCAGGTAATATTCTTGATTGAAAAGTTGCTTAACATTTCAGTAAATGTAGTTTTAATCATAAGACAAAATAGACTCATGGATAGTAAATATTAGAAATTTGAGGCTCATGTCTGTACACCTAGGATTTAAATCATTGGTTCTTGATAATGGTGAAGCTCTTTCACTAATTCTAATGTGAAATATGTGATGGCCAAAGATAAAGTGTGTTGATGCTAATGCCTCTTAAAAGGGAGTTGTTGTTTTTTTTAAATATGTTACTGTATTAGTTTTCTTTGGCTGCCATAACAAATTGCCGCAAACTTGGTGGCTCAAAAAAAATTTGTCCCACCTTTTTGGGGTCATAAATTTGAAATGACGGTGTTGGCCGGCATGGTTCCTTGTGGAGGCTCTGAGGGAGAGTCGGTCACATGCCCCCGTCCCGGCTTCCGGAGGCTGTCTGCAGGCCCTCGCTGGCACGTGGTTTGTAGATGCTTCATTCCGGTCTCTGCCCTTGTCTTCATTGAGCTTTCCCCCTGTCTTGTCTTTGTCTTACAAGGACAATGTCACGAGATGTAAGGCCCGCCTTCACCCAGGGTGGTCTCCTGACCACATTAACTCAGAATTACCTACAGAGACTTTTTCCAAATAGGGTCACGTTTACAGGTTCCAAGGAGACATATCTTTTGTGGGACACTTTTCAACCCACTAACATTACCAAAGGAGACTTTAGGATAAACTTTGTAAAAGTGTAGGAAATAATTTCTTTGCTGAGATAGTTTAAATAAAGTTTTATTTTTACTGAGGTTACAACGACTCACTTTCAAGGTCACAGAAATACAAAACTAAAGGTAACTGGTATTTGATTCCATTGTACAAGAAAAGTTAGAATTGAAAGGAAGTTTAGAAATCATTTGATTTAGTCTTTGTAGATTAGGGAAAAACTTCTTGGGTAGGATTTTTGTGCTTTGGTTTTTGCATTCTGTGTCTACTATTTTGAGTGCATTCATTGGGTTGTCATTCCACTAGAGAAAAGTGCTATTGGGATATGTTAACTTTGACATGTAAACTTAGAACTGTGAATAGAACTCATGGTTTAACCTCATTTTATGTTTGTAAACTTTCAAAAATAGCTGTGTGAACAAATTTGTCTTTGGTGTTGAATAATGTTTTTTTCTGGGTTTTAAATAATGAGTGGAATTGGAAAGTATTCTGCACTTGCAAATATGAAATTGTGTACATGCGGAAGTTACGAGTGTTGTGGAGTAATAAATACAGAGCAATCGTTTGTTGTGCTCTGCTCAGTTCTTAGAAAGTAGATCGACTTTTTGGTTATAACAGGGATTGCAGGACAGATATTTGCACCCAAACTGTTTAAAAATTTGATAAGAAACCATACTCAAATAACTTAAAATGGCAATCTGAATTGCAGGAAGTCAAAATTGGGGGGAAAATGTGTGATTTACGAAAGCTGGCTTTCTTGTCTGATATAAAAGGCTTTTTTATGTTTAGAAATGTATCTGATGGGAAAACTTTTCCTCTCAAATCCAAATGAGGAGACCATTCCACCCCATGGACTGGGGGAAGTGCTGTCCTGTTAAGTAGTTTTTGAATCTTTGCCTGAGGGTGTTTTCAGAGAGAGAGAGAGAGAGAGAGAGAGAGAGAGGAAGGAGAGGTAGGTGGGAAAGGGGGAGAGAACCAGTGAGTCGCCTACCTGGCCAGGGCTGTTGCAGTTCATTTTCAAGTTCCTATTATGTTAGGAGATGTTTTGGAGAAAAATCTGCAGTCAAGAGAAAACAAGTTAATCTCAGATGTTTTCTATAACGTACATAAAATACAGTACTTAACATTTTAGAAAATGATGCTGTGAATTACAAGGTGCTATAGAGCATTGCTTTGAGACATATCCTAAGTGTTCTCTGTGTTTTAAACATTTTTAAAGAGTTACCAAATAGATATTTTCAATATGAAGTTTAAAAAATTAGACTTAATTTCTTGATTAAAAGGTGATTGTAGAACAAGTATTGATAAGCTAGAGGGCCTGTGGAGCCTTGAAGTTATATTAAAGTGTAAGTAGGGTTATATTAAAGGATGTCAAAAAGATTTAGTCCAAACATATTTAGGCCCAATAATAAACCTGTGTGAACTTTTTTCCTTACATCAAATTTCGTAGATATAGTGTACATACTGTCTTTATATAGCATTAGTAAGGTTCAAGTATGCTGTGTTTTCTCATATATTATTTATATTTTCTCCTAGTGGGTGCCCAGAAATCTTTTCCAGTGCATCTGTGTATTTAAATTATTTGGAAATGTAGTACTCCCAAGGTTAACCATAGCATGTCATTTGGCAAGAGAAATTATTTTGTTAGCGCTCTGGCTTCTGGAATGTGCTTAGTCTATCATAAAGTACTTTAATAGGGACAGTGTGATGCAGTTGATTTCTGACAAATCAGCAGTGTCTGTGGCACATTGTGAGTTTGACCGACAAGGGTCTTGACTCCAAATGCCAGTTGAACGTCCACTTTCCTTTTTTTTTCTTTGCAATTGAAGACATGGGAAGAAAAGAGATCCTCAATTTTTATTTATACCCCCTAAATAGGAAGCTATTAGATGCACTTTATTTTTTTTTACTTTTAAATTACAGTTGATTACAATTTTATATTAGTTTCAGGTGTACAACTCCATGATAAGACATTTATATAACTTACAAACTGGTCACCCCGATAAATCTAGTGCCCCTTTGGCACCATACATAGTTACTATAACGTTGGCTCTGTTCCGCACGCTGTACTTTACATCCCTGTGACTGTTCTGTAACTACCCATTTGTACACTTCCTTGCCTTTCTCATCCATTTCCTCAAACCCCCCTGGCAACTGTCAAAATGTTCTCTGTATCTGTGTAGACTTGATTCTCAATAAAATGTTCATATAAAGAATTAAATTCATGTTCATTAAGTTAGCATTTATTTCTTGAAAGCAATCAGCATTTCATTAAAAAGTGAAACAATGTACCGTGCTAGTAACGTGGAAAACATTTAGTGGAAATCTAAACATGACTTAGGAATTTAACATGGCAGTTCAGACTATCGTATTTGATTATGACTTTGGTTTCAATAAGGCAAATGGTTTCATATCTGGTCCTCATTTCCAATAAACATAGTGTTTGTCATAACTTCAGCACCTGGCACATTGCTAGCCTTATTTCAAAAAGAATTTAGCCCCAGCCATATTTCCAAAAAGTTCACAAATATATAATAAGTATTGAGTAAATGTATACTGGATGAAGTTTCTAGTATACAAAGAAGTGAATATCCTAGAAAAAATTTACTGTATAACCATTAGCTAGTTTTAGGAAATCACATATTTTATAATGAGAGCCATCCTAAACTTTTTCTGCTTTAATTTCCTGATCTACTTTTAAATGTTTTTATTTACTATAGTGCCTAATATTTATGTGTTTCTTATAAATATGTTTTATGTTTATAATAGGATGTGATTTTAAAATTATTTTTTAAAGTAAGAAAAGTAACTTTTGACCATTAAATTATAATATAATCGATAGTTATTAGATATTTAATGAAAAGAATTTTCAACCAATTACATTTAGGCTGAATTTTATTTCTTTAAGGATAATTGTTAATTATGTTTTATTTAGGGTATTTGTATGTATTTAAATATTAAGACATTTTCAGTATACTAAAACTTGTATACCTGAGAAAATTATAAAAAGGGATATATTGAAAAAAAATTCATGAATCCAGCGCTAAATTCTTGGATGTTTGGAAATCATTTCTAGGGTAAGAGATTTTGCCACAGTGAAGTAATCCAAGAATATATTGCACTTTATAAAACAAGCAGTTGATGAATTTAGTGTTAATTTGAGGTCAGTGTATTACCATCTGACCAAAACAAATATGGTATTTTTCTAATGATGAAATATTAAATACTGTATTGAATTTTCACACTGATTAGTAAACTCACATCGATTCAGTTGAACCGTGTGCGTGCGCGCGTGTATGTGTGTGTGTGTGTGTGTGTGTGTGTGTGTGTGTGTGTGTGTGTGGCCTATGCAAAAGCACTGTTGTCATTTATAGAGCACCTGCAGTGTGCAGAGTGTGATGCCATTTGGCTGATTTACGGTCACTGTCACGTTGGATCACACACCCCTCTGAGGCAGAAGCTGATTTCCGTTTGCTAGAGAAACCAGATCAACATAACATAACTTGCAGCAGTCACTGCTGTCACTTCATAGCTCGGTCTGATTCCCAAGACTTCCGGACGGCTACTCTGCCTTCACTGAGAGTTTTTCATTAAGAGAAGTAGCATATGGAGAGAAGGGTGGTAATCCTATCTTCACTCTGCATTAGCCAGACTGTACATGGCATATTATTTGTGTACTGGTTGTAGTCACTTTTAGAAGTGCTAGAAACTTTAAAGAAGCATGAACAGATGGTGAGTGTTTTATGTTGCAAGAGAAATGGCTAAAAGAATAAATATATGGGATGTTTAACTTGGAGAAGCCAATATAACTTGATAACCTGTCCCCATAATTGAATAATTCTTTAGAAGGAGATCTGGAATATTCTATATTCCCTAAAATAAAATCAAGGACCAGCAGATTTCAACTTAAGAAAAACCCACATTCTCTAATCGTTTAGTTTCTGTGGGAAAATGGACCCAGAGAAAAGTTAAGTCTGCTTGCTCAGTGGGGGCAAGATTTCTGTTCAATAAGGATGCTTCAGCAGTTCAGATGGTAAGTAGATAGAATAAATAGGTTATTTTAAGATGCCTAAAAATCTTATGATTTGAAATGTGTAAGTTTGTTACAAGTAATTTTTTGCATTAATTGGTAAGTCATAGTGAAATAGTTGGTGACTTGCATGCCGTCTATGATAGATACACTTTAAATTTCTAAACAAACTTAACCTTGTTTTAGAAATAAAGTTGAGAATTACAACTTAGAAGATATTTTTAGCTGTAGTATTTGAGAGTCCTGCTAATATAGTATTTCATTTGTTTCCTATCATTTTAATTTCCCTTAGCACAAGAAAATGTGCTTCTTTTGAAAAGGTTTCCCCCCCAAAGATGTGTATGGTATACACTATCTACAAAATTGTTTTAAATGCACGCTCCACCAGGTGGTGATATTGTGCTATGTTTCCCAGTACTATGAACTTTTGTAATGTCTGAATTAACTTTTTCAGTTTTACATTTTGAACTACAAAGTATTTTTAGCATCTATGTTTATTATGATGTTATTCAAATGTTTTAATTGTATTAAGCTAAGGCAAATGTTAAAAAATCATTTGTGTTTTATAATCATGTGCTGCATAATTTAACCTAATATGTCATCATTTTTACTTCTTATGGCATAGTCAAGATCTTTTGTCATAGTGATAACAATGACAAATTTTAAAATTCATATAGTATCGTATCAGCCACTGTTTTAAGTGGCTGCTTTACCTACGTACCATAATTTATTGCCTCATAGTAATACTCTGCGATTAGTAATGTTTTTAAGTTATCTGCTCTGTATCGACATGAGGATCTATACTTACATTAAAGCGATTAAGTATTTTTCCAGAGATCACAAAATCACTGGCTGAGCTGGTATTCAAACCTAGGCAGACAGACTCAGAATCCATATTATCTACTCTGTTTGCGGGTGGGGCACAATCTACCTTCAAGTTTCTAACATTTTAGGAAGAAAAGTGATTATGGAGAATGTTGCTGATGCTCCCTGTTTGTATGTGGTTAATATGAGGCCCACACTCACTCGGGTCTTCCAGAGGCAGGTGGTCTTCCCTGTGCGGTTGTGTCTCCCATCCCCATCTTGGTGCTGGTGTCTCAAAGTGAGAAGTGTGTGCACATGAAAACGAGGGAGAAAAAAAAACCCTTGTGATTGGGTTTTTAACCATATTAATTTCCATTGAAATAAAGACCTTTGTTTTCATGAGAATGACCCCTGCTACAAAGTGGAGGAGCAGAGTCGTTCGGAAATTAATACTTAGTTTCTCCAAAGAGAGTTCTACTTTAAGTGAATTGTCAGTTAAGCATGACATATACTGGAATTTTTGAAAAATTTTAACTGGAAAAGCTTACCCTTAAAAAAAAGTATCTTCTAGGTGCTTTTAAGTTTTATATTTTGTTAGCTACTGTTCTGAAAAATAGAGATGTTTATTTGACTTCTAAAATTGTGTTGTGGTTAATTCACTTAAACTTGATTTTTAAGTAAACTTATTCTGTATAAGAATAAAAGACTTTGCTGATTGAAAAGTTTGTTCAAATATCATGGTTTTATCTTGTTTGCAGATCAGTTCATGTTCTATAATATTTTATAATTTATCAATTCTAACACATCCTCTTATTCTGAACTGTGTACTAGTAGCTTTTTCTTTCACTCTGTAGTAGTAGCCATTCTCTCCTGTCTCCCACCCACAAATTCTGTGCTTCATTAGTCTCCTTGAAATAATAGAACAGATATTTTTAAGTGCCCATCACCAGCCTGTATGACTATATTTTATTCTCATCACACAAGGAGGCCTTTAGATGACTGGCTAATCACACTTTGAACTTGTGGAGGCTTGGGTTTCTTTGTTAGTCCATGTCGATAGAAAGCCCAGCATGTTTTCTAAACACCTTTAACTGGGCATGACTCAAACCCCAAATTTTGATCTCTGTGGTAAGGAGAGGAGATCCCTACTTTGCACCCCCAGACTTCCAGGTCTTGCTTTGTCACAGGCTGCAGCTCAGAGATCAACCCAGGACTTATGCACAGATGCAGGGCTTCTTCCTTGTGACCCTCTCTTCTGGGATTTTCCTTCTTAATTTATAGCCACTCTGGCATCCTAAACTTCATCCTCTCTCATCCTAAGCCAATGATATTCCAGCTTTCGAAACAGGCTGTGTCAAGGGAAAAGTCACCCAGTGAGATTTTCCAGTTAAGTCCTATCTAGTTCCTGCCTGCTTTAGTTGGGTCTTCAGACCCAACTTCAAAAATATTCCTGCCTTCAAAATAGTCCTGCCTGCAAATATTCCTGCCTTCAGAAATATTTGTTTATTTTTTCCTTTTTAGTCAATCTGCAGAACAGTTAATACAATTAAAGTTCTTCTGCAAATTACCTGCCTAGCAGCCTTGTCTTGATTATAGTTGTCACTTTCTACTTCTCTCTAAGGAGGTTGGGTTGCTACTTTTGCTTTAAATTAGAACTAAACAGGAGAGTCCTGAAAGTAGTTTATGTGGGATCAGTTAATTTTTCAGAATATCAACTTCTAATATGGTCCCCTAATATAGTAAGTTATATTTGTATTTAAATCTAATAGTGATCACGTGAGGGTCCCTTATGTGAAAATGTTATCAAGAAATGAAAGTGACCGTGGCCTTCAGGCCAGAGGAGTCCACCTGCTAATCGGGGGCTAACATATGATGACCACCAAAGTGTAAGAGCTAGGGGGCTACATGGAAATAGGAATTACCTGGCCGAAGGGACAACGAAGTATGTCATAGGAAAAGTGACATCTGAGATTATACTTGGAGACCTGTCCAGACGTGAAAAACATTCCAGGCAGGACGAGGAGGCTTGAACAGTAAAACTATCATGCACTTGAGCAGCAGGTAACAACAGTGGCCAAATTATGGAGTCCTTGCTATATGCTAGACACTTAATGTAAATATTCAGTATGAATTAATTAAGCCTCATAGTATCTCTGCAAGGCAAGTACTAGACTTCACATTGCATTGTGAGGAAAATGAGGCATGGCGAATATGGAAAGTGCAGTCTCAGCAAGTGTGGCTTCAGAACCCGCCCCCTTTAGACAGGGCTCCATACCGACTCCCTCTGCACGTGTAGATAGTCCGACAGCCTACGCTGCACAGCAGCTGAGGTTATTGTTAGGCGGAAAATAGAAAACAATAACAGTGTTCTGCTGCACGCAGTGAGG